GAATTTTTTTTTCAGTTTGTTATAGCTTTTACTGCTACTTCTTGTAAGTATTCTGCTGTGTGTGCGCATTTCCTGATGTATCAATTGTTTCTGTAAGGAAGACATTCCCTTCTTCTGTTGTCACACAAGCACATACAACAGGATCATTGTGGACATTGCTGCACCCATCAAGACTCAGGTTAATAATTTTACCCTCTAGACCTTTTGCACACTGCTCAATTTCTCTTTTATACACTTTATCCAGCAGTTTGCCTGCGACATCTGCTCTGTTGGGTGGACTGTATCCTGGTCTTAATGACTGAACCATGTTAATGAAGTGGGTTCTCAATCATACGGAAAGGAGAGTTTGTTGCATAAACAAACCAGGCAATTTTTTCATCAGTTACCTCTTTTTGTAATCCGCTGGTTCTTATCACAAACTTATCTATGGTTGTTTCTGGATGATGGCAATTTTTTTTTTCTTTTTGCTACAGGTGATCTACTGTGTGGCTATGTGACTGAAAACACTATCATTGGCAGATAACTCTGAAACTATAGAAAATGATGGTGATCTTGAAGCTGGATAGTCTTGAGAATCCTGTATGTTGAGGATGGATTCTCCTAAACAAAATAAGTCAATGCAGCTATTTAATTTTTATTACCATACTGCTCATTTAGTATTACTCATTGCATTCACTGACACTCAGTACTACTTTAAAGGTGAAATTGTAAAAGGAAGATCTGCCTATTTCAGCTATTTATTTCTTATCACAACTGCATCTAAAATGATAGTACCATAGAGTAACAACTATATTTTTTGCTCAAGCATGAGAATTCAAGAATAGTCCAGAAGGAAGACAGGCAGTCCTTAAGAAAGAAGTATGAAATAAAAAAGTTTACCAACCTGAAGATCCTGCATGTTCGGACATGTTCCTTTCATCATCTTCAACACAGCTTCCTCCTTAGAAGGAACACGTCTCATGATGTTTCATTCGGGCAACCAGGCCTTGCATTTCTTTGTTGCACTGTTTGAATTTTGCACGCATGCCTGTCTTACCCACAGGTAGAGGAACTTCATTAAAATATTCCCAAACTGGGTCTTTCTTACGGCCTGCTGCCATTATAGGTTTTCCCTTCTAGTGAGAGAATGGTATCAATGAAGGCTACACTCAGAAAGATCAAGACTTCTGGAATACGCTGCTCAAACAGTTTCACTTTTGTTTCTACTACTGACTGTCCCTCCCTTCTCACATTTCTCTCCAGACTTCTTCTCCTTGTCCAGATCTATTCTGCCCCCAACGATCTTCTATTCATTAAACTTCTTGAAACTTTGCGCTTTTAGAGAGAGGTAAGGGATTGACTGTGTACACAAATTTGCAGAGGGACAATAGGGTTGTGGTCTGTTATTTCTCACCTCTGTGTATTATTTATTAATTTAAAACCATTTGTGCAGTTAACAAGCATGTTATCTCTGGAGACACAAATCCACAGTTTGAGAACTGCAAACTAAGCATCTCTGATGGTATCTTCTAGACCAGTGGTCCCCAACCTTTTTCGTCTGGCGGGCAAAAGAAAGATTAACCTAAATAATCTATACAGAAGTCTCTAGAACCCCATAAGATTGGGTCCCTGTAGACGAGCGGACTCACCCCTGCAGCGCCTCCTGCTGGTGACTTCCGGGAATTAGCTCGTTCCAGCTCAGGTACCCTGTCTCTAGCTCCCTGCAGCCAGGCCCTTCTCTCTCTGAACACAAAGAGAGACTGTGTCCTTGCTCCTGGCTCCCAGCCTTTATAGGGCCAGCTGGGCCCTGATTGGGGCGTGGCCCAGCTGTGGCTGCTTCCCCAATCAGCCCAGGTCTTTCTTTCACAGCCTGCCAGCCCTCTCCCAGGGCTGGTTCCAACCCTATCAGGGCTGGAGTGGGTCACCACCCCGCCATAGTCCATAATCCATGAACTATTGGAACTCATTTACAAAACTGTCCTTAAACATTATAAGAATATATTGTCTCATACTATAGAATTAGAATTTATAATCCCTATTCCACAATGAGATATCTTTGAGCTATAATGTATCTTAATTAAAACTATCTTTAGATAGGTTTTTTCCTCAAAAAGCATTTTATCAAATAAATCTGATTTAAAGAAATCATTGATTTTTATCCACCCTGATCCCAACCAATACCACTGTAGAACAAGAGCCTAGGTTACAGAACAGCAGACCAAAGGAGTTTTTGACTATGGATTTCCAGTTGGGTTATGTATAGTAAGACTTCTAGATCAAGGTACAGACCTATTTTTAAGCACCTTGTTCTATTCTGTATCTCTTCGTAACATTTATTTTTTCCATATTATTTGTGTAATCCTCTGGCCATTTCAGCCCACTTAGTAGAGATGTTAATCATGTGAAGTAGCAGCCATTGAGCAGATGTACTGTCACAAAGTGACCTGCACGGGGGAATGATTTCTTTAACACCTTTCCTTACTCTCAAACCTCAGGGGAACTTTTCTGCACACAGTCCAACTGCTCAAGCTTTTCTTTGGGGTCAATATTTGTGTCCTGGACAATTTAACCTCTGTTTCAGGCTGTCTGTAGATTCAGTTCAATAATACTATGTAGTTTGGAAGGCTATCATAATTATAAGGGCTAGAAATGTAACTTTATAAAAATAAAAGCTTAAATTCTACACAGGCTTCTGGGAAAGGCCATCATTTGCCAAGTAAAGTTTCCTACAGGATATTGGTGAGTGGATTTGTCAGGTTTTGTATATTATATTCTGGAATTTCTTCTACAAGATTACAGTATGTACAGTCTTCAGATTTGCCTCAAATTTACAGGAAATCTGTTTAGTAGTTTAAAGCTGGCAAGTTGAAACTTTTTTCTCATCTAGTTCTTAAGATCTGTTCAAAGCTAGAATAGTTTACAGTGTTAGACCACCTCACCTCAAGCATTAAACATTAATAACTTAAAAACTATCCAGTCAGATTTCTTTGGAGTTGGTTGGCTTTGTAGAACTCAATGAGGATTAATAATCAAGTCAAGAGGGAAGACTCTTAGGCCTCAGTCCTGCAACTTGTCCATGTGGGTGAACACTTCAAAAAGCCAAATGAAATCTGTAGGGCTCCATATGGCACAGGGCTTCCCCCCCATGAAATAAGTTGCCAAATTTGAACTTTATGTACTATAGCTATGTGGTTTTTTTTTTTTTTTATTTCTAGAATGACAGTGTTTCTAAGAAACACCAATGCAATATATTTTCCTAAAATATAGCACAGCAGTGCATACCCAGTAGGCCAAATTGAATTAATATGTAATTGTCATATTTATGTATTGCTGTGTAATCTAATTCTGTTGCCATTGCATAGTTGCTCATAAGATGTATTACTGACGTGATTCATGCAGCTTTGGCTGTAATATTTGTGGACTTAGCTTGACTTTACATATTTTGTGGGGGTTTTTAAATTTAAGTGTTGACCGTTAAATGGGCGCTGTCAACTTTAATTTCTTTCAAATTGACTTAAAAAAAAGTTTCTGATAGTGTCCTTTAATTATGTCCTAAAATAATTCTTTGAAAAATTAACTCTGGTTTTGCTCCCTTGCTTATGCATAGAACAGTGATGTGGCTGGGCCTGAATGTAAAAACCCTGAACATGCTCCCCTTCCTTTCTTTTCAAGGTGCATCCACACTAGGGAAAAAAGGTGTTTTTACCACTTGGTATGAAAATACATCTTTTTTCCTAGTGAAGACAAAGCTTCAGTGCATACAACAGCCTGTTCAGCATCAGCTTTGCCATGACTTCCACTGGTAATCACCCTCTTGCAGGGTTTGGGGAAGGGCTGGCACCATCAACAAACAGTAAGGCCTTGTCTGCATTTAAAACCTATACCAGCAAATCTGTCGGTCAGGAGTGTGAAAAATCCCACACCCCTGACATAACATAGCTGTGGCAACAAAACCCTAGTGTAGATGCAGCTGTGCCGACGTAAGAGTGCACAGGCACTGACTTTCAGCTTTCCCTGGGGGTGCTCCACTCCCACTCCGCCCTGAGGCCCCACTCCCACTCCGCCGCTCCCCCAAGGCTCCACCCCGCCCTCCTCTTCCCAACCCTGCCCCACCCCTCCCCAAGGCTCCGCTCTGCCCTGCCTCTTTCTGCCCCCACTCCTCCTCTCCCCCCCCCCCCCCCCCCCCCCCCCCCGAACAGCTAATTGGTGTCAGGGGGGGGGGGCGGGGGGGGGGGGGCCTGCTGAACAACTGATCGGCAGGGGACTGGTGGGTGCTGAGCACCGACTATTTTTTCCATGAGTACTCCAGCCCTGGAGCACACCACGGAGTCGATGACTATGTAAGAGTGCTTTTGTCGGTATAACTAATATGGTTCAGGAAGGTAGTGTTTCTACACCAGCAGAAAAACTCATGTAGGTGTATGCTGTATCTACACTGAAAGGTTATGCTGATATAGGCTCTTTAGTGTAGACATAGCCAAAAGTACATTACATTAAGCAGTGGTTCTCAAACTTTTTTTTTTGCGGACCACTTGAAAATTGCTGAGGATCTCGGCGGATCACTTAATGATCTTTCCAAATGTTGTTTGTACTGTTAGCTAACTATTGTAAAGCGCTTTGGATAAAAGCACTATATAAAAAAACCCCTTAATAATAATTACTGGTTTTTTGTTCTACAAATAAAAGCACACAACTCGTATTTTAATATCAGTAGTCTTATCTTTCTAATGCAGTGTGCCCTCTCTTCCCTGCCGCAGCAGTCCCCAAGCTAGGGCTGGGAAGGAGGGCCGTCTCTCCTCAGCAGCCACAGCCCTGGAGCTGGGGAAAGTCGCCTCTTTCTCTGGCCACCAGAACCCTGCATGTCCCAAATTCCCCCCACCCCCTCTTCCCACCCCACTGCCCCCTCCCCCCCAACCCTTCAGATGGAAATGTGATTTTTTTTTTTTTAAGTTTGTTTGCTTTTGCAAAGGAACCTTCGTGATGAGGCATTCATTAGTCTCTTAATTGAATGATTGTGTTTCTGGTATGATCTACCTTTTTTTCCCCTCCCCCCCAGATTTGGACTGAGCAACAAATTTGAAGCAGAATTCCCTTCTTCTTTAACTGGAAAGGTGAGTATCTATGGATAAGTCTCATTTAGAAATTTACTTATAATAGCCTCTAAAACTTAGAATTTGGGTAACAAGATTTTGCTACTAAAAAAGCTTGGTATTTGGGTTTCTACATATAGTTGAGCTTTGCAGGAATACTCATCATTTAAATTACAGATCTGTCTCATCTTATGTGAGGGTTCCGTTCCGCGGTTAGCGCGTAAAGCGAAAACCGCTTATAGCCAAAACCCCATTAAGTTCAATGGCGGGCTACAGGTATAGTATTAAAACTGTTCGTTGTTTTTCTCTTTTTTTTGTTTTTGTTTTTTGTTTTTGCTGACCGCGTAAAGTTGAAATCGCGCATGTTAAATGCGTGTAAGATGCGACAGACCTGTATATTGCAGTAGTACTGGATTATTTTTCTTTCTTCACAGGTCGCACCTGAGGAATTTAAAGCCAGCATCAGCAGAGTTAACAGTTGTCTTAAGAAGAACCTTCCAGTTAATGTTCGATGGCTACTTTGTGGCTGCCTTTGTTGCTGCTGCACATTAGGTTGTAGTATGTGGCCAGTTATTTGCCTCAGTAAAAGAGTAAGTTGGATTATATTCTCATTTGGCATTATCTGTTGTAAATCTGGAAATTGTGATTGGGTTCATTTGTGTATTAGTTTTTTGTTCATTTTCAAAACTCTGTACGTTAGGTCTGGTCCACGCAGCAGCAAAATGACAAAAAGTGTGAATTAAGCTTATTTAGTTATTCATTGCAAGTTGTGACCAGTCCTTAATATTACAGTGGAAACTGTACAAAACCAGTTTAGTGTACTTAAGCAAGTATATGCTATTTTGAATGTTTCAGGTAGCACGGCTATACGTATACATTTTTATTAGGGCTGTCAATTGCAGTTAACTCACGCGATTAACTAAAAAAAAAGAATCGCTATTCATTGCACTTATAACAATAGAATACCAGTTGAAATTTATTAAATATTTTTGGATGTTTTTCTACATTTTCAATATTGATTTCAATTACAACACAGAATACAGAGTGCACAGTACTCACTTTTTATATTATTATTTTTGATTATAAATTTATGCACTGTGAAATGATAAACAAAAGAAATAGTATTTTTCAATTCACCTCATACAAGTACTGAAGTGCAATCTCTTTATCGTGAAAGTGTAACTTACAAATGCAGATTTTTTTTGGTTACATAACTGCACTCAAAAACAAAACAGTGTAACACTTTAGAGCCTACAAGTCCACTCAGTCCTACTTCTTATTCTGACAATCACTAAGACAAACAAGTTTGTTTACATTGATGGGAGATAATGCTGCCAGCTTCTTATTTACAATGTCACCTGAAAGTGAGAACAGATGTTTGCATGGCACTTTTGTAGCTGGATATGCTAAACATTCGTATGACCCCTTCCAGAGGACATGCTTCCATGCTGATGATGCTCATTAAAAAATAATTGGTCAATTAAATTTGTGACTGTACTCCTTGGGGGGAGAATTGTATATTTCCAGCTCTGTTTTACCCGCATTCTGCATATATTTCATGTTATAGCAGTCTTGGATGATGACTCAGCACATGTTCGTTTTAAGAACACTTTCACAGCAGATTTGACAAAATACAAAGAAGGTACCAATGTGAGATTTCTAAAAATAGCTACAGCACTCGACCCAAGGTTTAAAAAGCTGAAGTGCCTTCCAAAATCTGAGAGGGACGAGGTGTGTAGTGTGCTTTTAGAAGTTTTAAAAGAGCAACACTCCCATGCAGAAACTACAGAACCAGAACCACCAAAAAGGAAAATCAACCTTCTACTGGTGGCATCCGACTCTGATGATGAAAATGAACATGCGTCAGTCCACACTGCTTTGGATCGTTATCAAGCAGAACCCATCATCAGCATGGAAGCATGTCCTCTGGAATGGTGGTTGAAGCATGAAGGGACATATGAATCTTTAGCGCATCTGGCACGTAAATATCTTGCAACGCCAGCTACAACAGTGCCATGAGAATGCCTGTTCTCACTTTCAGGTGATATTGTAAACAAGAAGCAGGCAGCATTATCGCCTGCAAATTGTAACCAGCCTTGTTTGTCTGAGTGATTGGCTGACCAAGAAGTAGGACTGAGTGGACTTGTAGGCTCTAAAGTTGTACATTGTTTTATTTTTGAATGCAGGCTTTTTTTGTACATAATTCTACATTTGTAAGTTCAACTTTCATGATAAAGAGATTGCACTACAGTACTTGTATGAGGTGAATTGAAAAACATAATTTTTTTGTTTTTTTACAGTGCAAATATTTGTAATCAAAAATAAATATAAAGTGAGCACTTTACACTTTGTATTCTGTGTTGTAATTGAAATTAAAATATTTGAAAATGTAGTAAACATCCAAAAATATTTAAAATAAATGACATTCTATTGTTGTTTAACAGCGTGATTAATCGCAATTAATTTTTTTAATTGCTTGACGGCCCTAATTTTTATACATACATGAATAACAATTTTACGTCAGAAAATAACTTTCAACAATACAAATAAATACAAGAACGTCTGTTACTTCAGCTTTTCCATAATATTCTGTTTGTACTTGTCAGAATATTAGACAATTATTTAGAGATATTGGTTGAAATGAGTTTTAAGTTTTGAAGAGCTATTGATTATGCTGACAAACTGATTACACTCCTAATGATTACAGATTTTTAATCTCATTTCAAAAGACCTTTTTTAAATATATATGTCAAATGAAGTGATCTGTGATCAGAATATTGGATCTTCTTTCCAGATTCTAAATGACGAAAATACTTTAGTGTGTTAATAATCTAGACTTTGTGCTGGGGTCCACACTTCATTGCTTCTGTAGGCTGTGTACATTGCATACCTCAGGGGCTCCTTGTATTTCTTCCCAACTAGCGCTCTGTGTGTCACCCTCCCATCCCCTTCTATTTCAGGGACTCCATGCAAACCCCCTTTCCCATGCCAGGGACTCTGCATAGCCCCCATGTCCCTTTCCCCCCATTCTACTCCCCCATGCCAGTTGCTCTGTCCCCCCCCGCCCAGGTCCTTTGGACCTCCATACCTGGGTCCCCTAATACCCACAGCATGCAAAGGTTTTAATATTACAGACAGACAAATGGAAAAATGCCTTCGAGCTGAGTGTAAGACGTCACTTCTCTCAGTTGGTAAATCAAGACTGAGCTCTTAAATTACAGTACGCCTGTTTTTTGTTTGTGATTTAAGATTAAAACCAAAATAATTTTAAATTAGTTCTTCCACTTATCTTTTTAAATAGTTCAGGGTCCTGAGGTTCTGTTTTTTTCTGTGCTATGGTTGATGACATCACTAAAACCTAAAACAGTTAAAGGAGCTTGCTTGGGATTAGATGTTAGTGATATCCTTAAATATTGCAGAAGCTATGCAGGCACTTAAAACCCACATTTATTGGTAGGTAAAAAGCATTTTTAAAACAGCTTCTCTTACCAGTATTCTTAGAATACATGTTGGTGTATGTAATGAAGCCTGAAGAAGAGACTCTCTGTATTAGGCAACTTTCTGTCTTAAGAAGCCTCCCCAAAGTGTCTCCATTTTTGCTCTTTTATTAGTTAAGCAGTGACTTTTTGTCAGTCCCCTGAGTGATTGCTTAGGACCAGTTTTATTGTATGCAAAATAAAATTAAGACACATTAACCTTCATTAGAGCTGATCCTGCTTCTGTTGGAGTCAATTGAAAACTCCAGTTGACTTCAATGGGAAAAGGGTCAAACCTTTGGCTTTTGTCAGGGCTTGAAACTGTCACCAGCTCCCATGGCTCCTTTCAGTTAGACTAGTTCAAGATGGTCATATGTCCAAGCCCCAAAACACTATTACAGTTGACAGTGATTAACCACTTGGATGGCAGTCTCAGTAGAGATACCATGGACTGAATGTGCTTGACCTATCGTCTCAGCCCAAAATGTCCTTTTGCAGTCAGGCCTGTGGTGCAACGGAAGGGAAACTTGCACTGCTACTACTGAGGCTGAACTTGTTCTGTGGATAAACAGATGCATGGCATGCTGACCCTGCAGTCTTGCTCTGACCCATTTCTTCTCCATACTGGATCAACCTTAGTGTGCTGTTGCAGCAGGAAGTCATTAGCAACATGTAATAGGGTGGTAGGCTCTAAGATTCTGAATAAGGATGCAGGTTTCCTTGTAATTATCCTAATGTGAAGTGCTTCCGCCCTGCATAAAGAGGCAGAAAATTATAGCTGAGTTATACTGACAGATGCATCTTATCTCCAATCAGGATATAAGAGGTTGGAGTATATGAGACTGAGGGAAGTAGGGTTTGGGAGGAAAAGGAGCCCTGCAGGGAAATCCTAGAAACTAACAAGTTTGAGGAAAGTTGCACCTCTGGTTTGTTGTGTTTGTTGTTGTTTGAGTTACCAATAAAGGCAAGGTGTACCAAGGGGATAAGTTTGGGGTGTGTGTATCTCTCTCTCTCTCTCTCTTTAATATATTCTGTTCAGAGCAGGATGGAAGCTATGCATTTAATGATGGCCTCAGTCATAGGATAAAACACTTTGCACAAGGAGGGAAAATGAGCAGCTTTGTTAAATGGATACTTAATAGAAACAATGACAGCAAACCTGGGTTGCAGCGCCCACAGGCATGGCAACTGCAGTTCCGGGGTTGTCCCACATGCACCACTCATGCTGCCAGGAAATCCAGTCTCTTTCTTAGCAAAACTGGAACCAGAAGATAACCCAGAAACATATCTGGTTACATGAAGAGGGTTCAGCCATGTATCTCTGTCTTACACCTGAAAAGCTAAGTGACTCATTAGCTCAGGCTTGAAACCCAGAAAATAGGGACATAGATGGATCTAATAATGGATCTTTACTGACAGTCTGTCTGCAAGAGTGCAGATGTGGCAGAACAATGTGTTCACACTGGCAGAGGCTGTGCAGTAAACAGAGAGCATCTTGGAGGCTGATCCATCAGAGAGACCGCAGCCGCAATGTAGAACTGAGAGAGCTTCATTGTTTGTCCAAATGACTGTCATGGGGAAGAATAAAATGGCTTAGGGCCTCTGAGAGAAACTGGAAAGGACAAGGATGCTCCTCCAAACTGAGATCCTTAATCCCAGATCTGGCTGGGGGAGAATTCAGGAATTGAGGAAGACAATCACAGGCTGTCCTCCCACAACTGCCTTGCAAACCCTGGTGTAAGTTGCATGAAAGAAAGGTGATGGGGCATGTTGGGGGCGTGAGGGGCTGGAGCCACAGTGTGTAGAGATTCTGGGCAGTGCTGCTTCCCATAGATGTCTGGTAACAGACTATTACAGCTTAGGCAGCCCTCCAAGATGAAGATGTGCTGGGCCACGCTGACCCCCTGAGCAGCCCTGAATCTGGAAGGTGCACTTTGGGTTCCCCCTTTTCCCCTAGGTTGTGAGTGTTGCATCTTTTAGCAGTTCAACACAGTATCTTGTCCCCAGACTCTAGAAGAAAACCACCAAGTCCTCCTTTTCTGTTTCACTTGTGATCAACAGAGACACATATAAGTATATATTCTGAGCATTGATGGAGCATGAGTATGAGGAAA